TAGACTATTTGAGATGTGATTATGGTAAAAATATTACTTACTGCGGTCCGATTTCCAGGCGCTGGTAACATGGAACAGGGAGAATGCAATGAGACAGCAGCGCACTAGTTTGTTCGTGCCGCATATCATCCTGCGCTACCTGCAACATGCACCACAAGAATATAACATTATTGCACCTTCGTACTTTCTGTAAAAAGTTAAACATTTAAATCCAAGTGGTAAGTATATGTACCAGCTGCTTTAACAGTCAGCAACACTTCATGTTTTACGTGTGGGTTTCATATGATTATTGCTGTAAAGAGCAATTATTTCCTTAAACAGCTTTAAGCAATTTATCTTTGCAATGGTGACGCGTTGTGTTTTCTTCGCGGTACGGACTAAATTCTTAAATATTATTTAGACGAGCTTCATCCTTAAAGGGGTAGTGTACAGATAAAAACCAACATTCGCTTCAAAATCATTATCTCTTGTCTGAAACAAAGATTAGTAAATAGTACAAATACATTATTTTATATGTTTGTATGCGCATGCGTGCGTGTGAAGCTTGATCTATCGCCGAGATGGGAAGAACATGGACTTGAGGACGAAGCACTGAGTAGAACAGATGTAATAGGACAACGGAAGTAAATTCATAATGAGGAATTCAGTAGCCTTGCCATATATTATTAGGGACACAAAATTAATTAAAATAAGATGAGCGAGAAATGATAAATACATACAAAAATTTTGTTGGAAATCTTGAAGGGAAGAAATTAGTTAAAATGCCTGGTGGTAGGAGAGAAGATGATATTACGTTGAATCTTGATTCAGGAAATGTGAGGTGCTGAATAATTTCAGCTTGCACAGTATAGAGTCTAATGGCGGGTGCTTTGTGATCGCGGTAATAGACCTTCGGGCAGAGCTACGTCGATTTGTGGGTGAAACGTGTGTATCGTACCCGGAAAGTGGCGTATGAGGGGCGGAAACTTGCTATGGGGGCACAGAATTTTGAAGCATTGCATTGGAGTGTCGATTATCAGGGGCGGTCCCAGAGGGTAGCAAAGTATGCAATTGCCTATGGGAGCCATGGTTCAAGGGGCGCTAAAAGGAACTGAAATCCATCAAAATATGTAAAAATAGAAAAATGTACTTATTCATAGGGGCGGCAGATATGCTCGGCGCGGGCCTGCCTTCAGGTTCCATTAAAGGTAGAGAATTTCTTGGCCAACTGATGATCTGCGCGGCGTAAATTCCGTACAATATTTCCTTCAGTCTTTTACCTCGTGTTGCTTCGCTCAACGATCAGTTCCGGGTTTGTTCACTGGAATTTTTCTCGCCATGACAGTAACTGTTAACTAGCATAGAACTTCCAATCATGGCCTTCGAGTTAATTAAGGTTGCCTATGTGGAGAAACAGGTTTGCAAGGACGTGCGAAATCTGTACAATTTTCAAATTGTGTGGGCGTTTGTCATAGCAAACAGCATATTTTAATAATGGGGATAGCGTATATTATTATAATTCTGATAACAGTGTAAAGATATCTGTTCTATTGCACTTTAAATGCCCGTCTGTACATCAATTCAACGTAGATATTTGTATTTTAAATATAATCATTTCAGCTCTTTGCATTACATATTTGAATTAGCAACTTAAGAAAGTCTTTGCTATCAAACCCATGTGTAATGGACGAATAGTATTAATAATAACGGTGTCAATAATTGCAGTAATTGTAACCAACCATTAAAAGCCATGATAACGTGGTTTTACCAGAAAAGGCTAAGAATTCTAATTCTTGGGGAAATAGAGTTATTTCTCCAGGATTGTTCATGGATCACACACACACATGCATATGTGCAAAGTCTCAGTCAATGCAAACCATGTCAAGAATGCCCATGTTTCTTTCCACACATTTATCATGACGTCAGAATTCAATGTGCATAATATTCTTTGAGAAAGGTCAGAACATTCATTTAAATGTCAGACTAAGTTTGCTACTGCAAGAATAAGTTGTTCTTGAAGAAGAAAACCAACTATACATTAAATCGAAGGTTCATAGTTATATTTTAGTAACATAGGAAAAACATAGAGATTTTTAATTTTTATTACGCTTTAATTATCATCGGCCATGTTACTACGCATAATGGAAAGTGTTATGAATCTAGTGCAACAGTTCACGAGTCTTGATGGACATCTGACGATCGTTATTTTGAAAAAGTAACGTCGTTTTCAAAAGCATATTAAATTTGTGACTGGAGCGATAAAGTCGTGATTTAAAGTTTAGTGATATGCGTGCATACTGCATAATAATGTTGAGATACAGCACATGAATGGAAGCTGCCAAGAGTGGCTCACCGGTTCCCTCGAGTTCAAGGAAACACCGTGTTCTAACCTTGAGACTGTCCATAGCACAGTCTGCTTCCAGAAACGACGCACATTTAGTCTAGGTAAAGCCAGATTTATAGATATATGCATCTGTTACAATCGCTCTCGAATATCTATCGATTGTTACCGATAATTACTGGTGCGTAACTCGAAGTTTGTCACGATTATTTCCAAGGCATATGGATGACACTCTTTATAAAACAATATATTGTCGAGTTATCGTAGTAGTTCATTAATTTCAGATGTATTTATTTTTCCATTTAGAGTGCACACATTTTTTTAAAATCGTTCGTTGCTATTTTAATAGATACAATGTTTCACCTGTGTAGTTCTTTATTTGAATATAAACCATAAGCATAATTATGTACGATGGACCATTTCTGACATAAATGATAAAAAAAATTGATTTGAGTAGTTGTTGTAAAATAGACCCAACAGATTATGGGCACAAATAAATGTTCATCAGATCTACTAAGCAGTTTCTGATAATAAATATTTGGATATATAGACGGACAGACATACACTTTGAGTCAAGAACACACAAAAATGTTGATACAGAAAGGTTCCACACTGATAAGACTAGCAGTCACATTATCTTGTGCCTACTAGGTGGAAGTAGTGACGTACTGGACCTAATAGTGCGACAGTGAGGCTAATTTTAGGTGATGCAGTCAAACATATTTCTTCTCAGCCTCAATAAATCTCTGGTCACTGACTTTAATGGATACTGATTGTTGTTCTGTGTTTTACCAGGGGCGGGGATAATTGTTTTCAGCAGCGCACTGTTCGTCTCACTGACGTTTGTGCTAGAGAAGACAATAAAAATGTAATTTTGGTCTATATGGACAAAGCTGGTTTATCATGAAAACCCAAAACACGGTCCAAATTCCAGTCAAAATCGTCATATGAAATGTAAAAATAAAATTGTTTCAGAATTCATTCTTAATATTAAACAGAGCAGTATGTCTGTCTCGTGAGAGCTTGAGAAAACGAAGATATTTCATACACAGTTGTGTAGACGTCTATTTACATCCGTGGAGCGTCGCTCAACTGATTGAACATTTTCCTGCTTCAGGTTCCCGCCAGTAGACCGTAAGTTTCGCTACTTGAACGAACTTAATTTCCTCACAAAATATTTCCTTAAAAACTATTCCAATATTTTCCTCCCATATATTCCTAGGTTTCTCATTCCTGTTTCAATTTTTGGAGGTCCCGAAGACCCGTAATCTCGATCAAGGTTAATCGTGATATAGCCACCATGTTGGATTCCATAATATATAGCATCGGGTTGATCTCGAGTTTGATACCGATTGCATTAAAAACGTAAGATTGGTTTATATTTCTTATAGGTTACAGCCTGAGTGTTTGTTTCTCTGATATTTCTCACAAAATGTAGTCTGTAAACTGTTCAACAATATTTATAGGTCTGTGCACTGCCTCTGTTTTACATGGTTGTAAAACCTTGGCTAACCACTTTTTGCAAAATGTCGAGATATTATCATTAAAATAAGCCTTAACCACTTCTTCCCAGTTTATTATTCAAATATCAACCGACTATTCGAAGTAGCGTTAGCCTTGCTAGGTTTATGAAAATCAATCTCTCAATTTGTCTGTCCGTTTGAGAATTTTCGACCAAGATTTCGTATGCGTTCTTATGGCACACACATATTGCAAGATCGGATTCATCTGGCTCCCGATAAGTACCAGTGATGGGCTCATCTTGACACGGTAATGAACCTTCAAGTTCTATGAAAGTCTCTTAACTTCCTGAGCAGTAATGACTTTATCAAGGACGATTCAGCTCTTTGGAGCTAGTTTAATTTACTTTCCCTATGTAATGTATGAGAGAATAAAGATATTGCGCAAACATTTTTGTAATCATATTATTATTTATAACTATTATGCAAATTTACTTTCAACAAATATGAACAAAATTAGTTGACTCATTCTCAGTACTAAAATTGACAGGCGGCATCTTAACCGCACCTTCTGCACGCTTATGATATTGAAATTCTGCAATAATACGTTAAAATAAGCCACGACCGCTTCATCTTACGTTTTTGCCAACCTGCGTCATTCACAATGAATCGATGTTATAAATATTTAAAAAAAACCATGGTAAAATAACAATCAGAATCTTACATGTTTAAATCATCAAGTTCTTCTTTATGCGATATCTTCCAAAACCACATTATCTATTCCTGGTAGATCTCTGGAACAGGCTGGTATTTGATGTCATTCGGGAGATCACAGGTTCGAATCACGAATGGGTTTTCAGTTCTCGCAATTCACTTTGTATGGACTTCGTTAATCCCTCCATGCAAATTCTGGCACAGTACCTTGAAACAGGTGACATCCATCTCCTTCCAAATCCGTACCTATTCACCATTTATTAATATTTTCTCACTCAGAACATCGTCTTCAACCGTCAAATTTCCTATGAATTAATTAATCTTGCTTCAAATATTTTATAAGTGCCTACCCCAAAATTTGTATGCTTTTGCTAGAAATTTGAAGTTCTCTCGGCACTGAATTTGTCGATTGTGGTCTGCTGTGTTTGACGTCTTCTGTTGGTTTTAGCGCGACTTTAATTTTCCTACATACGACCTGTGTATTTAATGCAGAATTGAGTTTCAAACTTGAGACAATTAAATGTATAAATATTAATAAGATTTGTGATCAAGGATATAAAATATAAAATAAATGCTACGGACACCGTAAGGGGTGTGGGGATACTTCAAAATCTGATTAAGACGAAAAAATCTAAGCGCCACTGGACTAAACTTAAAACGACACTCCGCTAAAGCAAAACTGTTGTCACATCTTAGGCAGCACTAGTCCCGGGTGATATTACTTACCTTCTGAGTAAACTCGAACAAGGTCGCTTTGTCAGTCCGTGGCACCACGAACAGCTGCTCAGAGCAACTCCACCATTCCAGAGCGCTTCCAACCGGAGAACAAGAGTCTGACGGCGGTCCAGAACTGCGCGGACCACAGACTGCGACAGGAGTTATAGGCTCACACACAACTGGTCCTCAAGGTTCCGCTCTGACGTGGCGTGAACAACACAAGGCTGTTATCTTTTCTCATAAACGATAAAATAAAGAGTACAATAAACACAGCAAAGTTAAACACGAATGTAGTCACGGAAAACAGGGATTTGGTAGATTCTCAGTATAAAAAGTGGAAGAAGGGGGTATATACTCGTATGCACTGTGAGTTTGGTAATCGCTGTGGATGACTAAGCTTTCAGACTGCTGCAAGTGCATTCACCGAGTGACGCGTTGTAGAGGTTAACAGTCCTACACAGCATTTGAGTGGTCCAGGCCACGAATTTCAACCTGGAGATCGTCCGTCAGTCCTGACTGAAGTTTCGTGTGGTTGTGTCCAGTGTCTCCTACCGAACAAATGTTGCGTGTCTCAAATTAGGTCACAGCCGTTTGCAGCCTGGTCATTGCGGTAATCCATCATTCTCAACCATCCTACCATCGCCATTCTCCGACCAGTTGGTAAAACGTCGCTAAATAAATAAAGTGATAATAAATGTGTGATTTTTTAAATTTCAAACACTCTCTCTATCTCTATCTCTCTCTCTATCTCAAGAACTTCTCGCAGAATGATTTTGAAATTAGTCTAGTCACGTATCTACCATTTGGTTTTAAATACGATCCCGACATACGTAGAAATTTAGAAGAAAATAAACATTTTAGGATATTACATGACGAGGAATTCGATAATATCGTCGCACCATCGTTTGTAGTTAGGTCGCTATGGACTGGGCATGTAACTAGGATGAGAAGAGAGGAAATGCAGAATTTTGGTGAGAGACCTCGCTGATCAACGTTCACATTGCAGAAAACCCTGGATTCATATGGAAGGATAATCCTAAGATGGATCTTAAGAAGACGGAATGCGAGGATTGAGCTAGCTCGAGATCGTTGTTCAGTGGCGAGTTTTGGAAAAGCAGCGTTAAAGCTTTTAAAGTTATTTTAAACGTAAGCACTGAAATTCAACGGAACCCGTTCTTGGCCAAGTATATAAAATGAACGCTTAATGTGGAGGTTTCTTTTGCCCGTCCTCGTGTTTTATCTCAAAAACTACCGACTGAATTTGAATAAAATGTCGAATTGAAGGTGAACGCTGAACGTATTTTCCGTTTACTATTTATTAAGTGTCCTAGTCTTAATGTTCATTTTTATCTTCAGGCCATTTGTGTAAACATCCTGTAAGAAGTCAAACGCCCGAAGCTCTTTTAGCTTTTTAGAGCATTCCGTTCAAATTGTATTTATAACTGAATGCGACAACGACAAACATTTGAGTTCATAAATGCGGTCATGACAAATTGTTTTGCTTCGAAAATGCTAATCTAGCTGTAAAAAATCAATGACTATTTCTTATGTAAATAATAAATAAACGCTTGGTGAAGTGTGGATTTTTGTCTTTGTATGAAGTAAGGCTAATCTAGATGCTGTGTTGCTTGTCATATAGCGCAGTCATTATGAAATATGTCGCTTTTGACTCGTAGTGAATTTTTATCCGGCTGTCTCTTCTGAAGACTTGAATCACCGAACCCCCAAAAAATGTGTATCACAAGTAATACTTCAAATTGCGATGTCATGTTCATAATAAATAGGAAAAGTTTCAGTTGCCAATCACGAAGTTCCTTGTCATATCCAAGAATCACTTCAGAATCCGTCGAAGGTCCAAATATTTTCCTGAGAATTTTGTTTTTAAAAACTTGCAGGGTTGTGTTGCTCCCACAGAGTACTTCGTTTTTATCTAGCCAGCAATAACTTTATTTTAATTATATTTTGTGTATACTCAGACCGTTATCAAACGGATTCCGATATTTTACTTGCAGATTACATTTATCGCACACACACAGCAGAGAAAATTGACTTTTAGAATGAGTAAACCTTCGTTTTATGCTTGCAAATGAAGTTTGATTTTTGTATCGTCATCTGTTTCAGTATTTCACTACAGCGTTTCGTAAATGGATTCGCTGTTTACATCAGATACAGTGTATTCGCGCGACTGACATTTTGAGCATAACGAATTACTGGAATCCAAGACAACTGTAACACAGTCTGCATAAACGTTTTAAAAACATGTGCCTTGATACTTTACATATCGCGTTGTTATGCAATTAGGAAGGTCAGTCACACCCAACACATTCAGACTGGTCTACAAGATTTCTCTTGAAACGGAAATAAATTAATGGGTCATCCCTTCGAATGAGCTAGACTCAGCCGCAGTTGAACTTGGACAAATCACGATGTTTGTTCTGTGACCCTGTAGCACCCAAACTTAGAAATGGACCTTGATTACAATTAAGTAAAACCCTGACGCGGACGAATAGCAATTAGTGATACCACATGCCAATTGAGGTCGAGTGGCAATTAGAATCATAGTTTTCCTCGCACCTATCACCCTGCACGATGTTAACAGTTATTGTTTAATTCATGTGCGATGTGTGCGTTGACTGCACAAACGAGATTGAACCTTACAAATTCAAGAACACTGTTTTTTAATCCTCTCAAAATGCTTTTTGACAAGTTTATAAACAGACCATGAGCTGGACGATCGGGCTTCGATCCCCGACAGGGGCGGGGGATTTTCTTCTAGCCATTACGTCCAGTCGGTACCTGGGGTCCAGCGTCGTTATGCTGACCACACACTCCCACCTAGTGTCGAGGTTGAGAATGAGTAGGAGCTATACTACCTCACCCCTCAAGCGCTTACATGGCGCGTAACGGGATGGCGTTTACTTTACTCTTTTATAAATACGCCTACCGAAGAATCCAGTGAATCGAACAGTACAACCTCGAAACTCCTGAACCCTCTGTGATGTCTTCACGAAGGCAAAATTCCATACGTACAAACTGCAGATCCAAACGGGCGAATAGAAATCTGTAAAGGGTTTGTTATTTACACAGAAATTAATGAAAAATTTAGGTTGTAAACTGCTTTCTGGTGAAGTTAATATGTGTGTGACCGGAGACGTGAGTAAACTTGAGATGCCGGTCAAAAAGATTCTCAAATGATTCTCCGGAAACGAAAAGGAAGCAACTTAGAAATAAATGGCGTGTTGTGGTTCATGAACTGTGAATGTCATTGGTCCGCCCTGATTTGGAGAAGTTGCGAAAATAACGTAAAATTGAACTACTTAATTTGGATTTTGTTCCAGATTTTTCTTGCATTGTAGTTACCGATATATGATATCGGACACTTTAGATGTTCGCAGAGGGGCGTGAACAAAATTATTTTTGTGAAAATCGATGTTAGAAATAAGAGATTTTTTTTTCTTCTAACAGCTCTGTTATGTAATGCGAAAGTGTTGGTAACTGAAGTCTAGAACCCAAACTCCTCGCTTCGAATGTTCTCTTGTTCAATATTACGCTAATTGATATTTATGAACCGAGGAAAACAAGTCAGTTAATGTGTCAAAGAGTAAATTGCTCCAAGCAGTCACAAGTAATAGAAGAGTTTCAATGTCGTAATAGATACTTTACTGCCACACGAATTTATCTTTTAATAGCACGTCCGAAAAGTCTATAACCAAAGGCGAAATCATTTATTTTATTTCAATATTTTACAGTATTACTCGATGTCTGCAGACGAAAAATGCACGTATCCTTGGATCTTCATTAGAATATCTACGTTGACATGATTTAGATTCCTATGTTTGGAACC